GCGGGGGGGGGGGGGGGGGGGGGGGGTTGTGGGCAGCTTTTGGAACTTTGGCAAGGAGCCTAAGGAAGTAGGTTTGGCCCCCTGGGCGTCCCCGGGTAGCGGTGGGGCTCAGCAACCGCCCGTACTCAGTCTTGGTGGCCCGCGGGCTGTACGTAATTCCCCCTAGCGCTGAGTGGGCTCTTTGGCCACACCAGGGGGATTTTACCGTCTGGAGAGACGCGCGTGGCCCTGTGCGAATTTGTTCTGTGCTGGAACGGGGAATTCCGCAGACTACATTCTCCAACCCAGACGCCTCCTGTGGGCGGCGGGTCAACTGGAGGGCGGCGTGGAGGAGGCGGATAGGGGCTTAGCAGGAAGAGGTTACAGGACGCGGGCTGGGGAGGCCGCCTCCTGATGCATGCGACGCTCTGCCCCAGTTCCTCGTCCTGTCGGGAGCATTTCCCAGTCTGGTTTTCCGGAGTGGCAGGTCCGAGTGTGTCCGGCGAGGGAGGGTGTCATTCCGTGCAGAGATCCAGTGGAAAGAGTTGGCAGCTGCTCCTGCGTGAGTAGGCAGAGAACCTTGCTCGCTTCACTGCTCCCGACCCCCAACACCCAGGCTTGTGTGCCTTGGGCTCCGGGGACGTCAGGGTACTGTTCCTCAATCCTGCAGAAAAGGATTGCGTCTCCTGTTTTCGACCCTTGGTCCCTTCCTCGAGCCTCCTGGGGACTCAACCACAACACTCCGAGGCATGTCGCTCTTTTAAATCCCAGGAATGGACTCCGTTTGGGGATAGGGAAGCTCGTGAACTCTGATTATTTCTTCTTTGTAGAGCCCTAAGGGCTAATTAAATTCGTGTTTACGGACTCAAATGCCTCCTTGCCTTGAATTCGGTATAATCCTATCAACACTTACTGAGCTCCTCTGGGCCAAGCAGAGTTCTGGGTGCTGAGGACACAGAGGTGGATCTAAACTTGGTTCCTGTCCCCATAACCTCACAATGTGGTTGGGGACCAGTCAAAGTTACCTCCACAGGTAACTTAGAGTCAAGGCAGTCTAGACAAGGTCCACTCACAGACTGACCTAGTAGGGAGTTTGCTGGGATGGGGTGGCGACGTAATGACTGGCATTCATGCTTTACTTAACTACAGTATTATTATAGTCGTAATGCTCTACCTCTCCTTTATTTTGCGCTCCTATCATCCCTAGGAAGATTAACCCACCCCCATCGGTGCTCTTCCTCGGCACTTTCCATATGCTCATGGCTGTCTTTGCACTTACACAGCACTGCACTTAACACTCTGTACTGTAATACTTTTTCTTAAAAAACTTTTTAGTCAAGTTGTATTATAATTAACTGGATTAAAATACATGCCAAGTAAATAGAGAAAGCCCCCAGGAGTCCATTTCTAGAGATACCAAAGGTTGAAGTTTAGTGTCTTTTTTAGATATATGTGCACTCAAATATAACCTTTTCAGTGTTTTAAAAAATTATATACCTTTTCTCCCCCTTTATTTTGTATGACGCTGTTTCTACAAACTATATTTCAGAACTGGTGTTTGTTCTGTTAATAGCTTTGCTTTTCCACATGTTAACTTCACTCCCCTCTGGAAGCAGCGTTTCTAGTGAAAGATTTCTTTTTCTAATGATCAGTGTTTTTGAGAATGTGTGCATCCGCAATTTATTTCATTCATTTGCTTCTTCAGATGCCTCAATTGTTTTTTCTCCCTCTTCAATTCTTGGTTTAGAGAAATAATTTCTTTTTTGACCGCATGTACATACAAATATATATGTTTTTGAATCTTTTCTTTCCAAATAAAATTGTTTCTTTTTCCACACCTTGTACCTCGTTCAGTATTTATGTTACTTTAATGGTCTCCCCATCTAGCCACTTTGTCTTTATTTGACCATTTAAGTTTCTGACCAAAGCAACAAACAGCTTCTTCGTTATTTCCCTCTTATTCTCGATACTGGGTTGTCATCTTTGTAGTTCAGTAATTATTGTGAAAGAACTAAGCTCCACCAATTTGATACTACATTCAACTGCATATTCAAGATGGTTTGTGTCTTCTGCAGGGAACTCTTCACTTACAGAAATAAATCTATCATCACTTACATCTGTGTCTATATAACTCAGTTCTTCAGTTTCCTATAATTGAAGAATTCTCTTGTAGCTACTTGTTCCAAGACTTAAAATGTTTCCCAAGGTAATGACTTCGTTCAGTCATCTGACTTTACAAAGCTTCCTTATCTACTTCTGAAATACTTTTTTTTCCTTGAACTTCTTTGGATCTTTCCTTTCCAGTCACATGAGGGTACTTCAAAAGTTCATCAAAAAATAGAATTAAAAGATAATACAAATCTTTCTATGAACTTTTGGAAGACCACTTGTATGTCTGGGTTTTTTTTTTTGTTTTTGTTGTTGTTTTTACTTTACCTGAAACTTCCAAAAGTAGTTTTTAAAGTCAATGATCTTTATTTTAAAGAGTAGGCACTTGACAAATCTTTTGCTTGAATACTATTTAGTGAGTGAACCAAATTCTCTGTAGTAATGACCAAAACTTGATTCAGAGTTGAATTTAAAAAGAAAAATAAAAAATTTGTTCAGCATTTACTGAACACCTGCTAGTGCTAAGGATGGTAGCATATAGGAGATCTCCCTCTGCTGTCTGGTGCTCCCTTCCTAGATGGGAAAGACAGAAGCAACAGCAAAAGTTATGCCCAAAACCTTGGCCATAGTATGCCATTGAAACCCCAGAGTTTGGGTTTTATACTTGAGTTCTACTCTAACCCATGGGTTATTTTAATCCGGCAGATAATTATAAGGCTGTGCTCTAAGTACCCTGGTGGAGCTATTAATAAAATGTTTTGGTGGCACAGGGAAGTTATATATAGCACAAAGCTTGTACCCCTGGAGAATCTTTATC